TCCTCCTCCTCCTCCTCCTCCTTCTCCTCGGGTCTACCTTCTCCTCGGGGGTTGCTACACAGGTGCTCCTGGCCTAAGGTGCCCCCAGCTCTTCGCTCCATTCTGGAGCCCCTGGGGCCCTCTGGGCCTCGCGAGGGGTGCTCTGGGCTCTGGGGGCCGTGGGTGCCTCCGGGGAACTCCTGGTGGCACCTTGGGCCAGGGACCTCCCAGGAAATCCTTCGCGTGGACCTCGCGCTGGAGAACCACTCCTTCGCGTGGACCTCGCGCTCATTCGCTCATTCGCTTGATCCTCTAAACATTGCGCTCATTCGCGTGGATCCTCCTAAACATTACGCTCATTCGATCTTCGCTAGAAGAACATCGTTCCGTCCCAACTGGCCCAATCCTTCGCGTGGACCTCGCGCCGGAGGACCGCTCGCTTCGGGTCGGCCCCAGGGCCCCCGACACGCTGGGCACCCGAGCCATGTGGGGCAGACCTGGTCTGGGTGGGGTCCTGTGTAGATCGGGAGACAACTCGGGTTTCCAAGACGGCCCAGGCCTCCAAAACGCCTCCAGGAAGGCCCGAAGAGTCCACACTCCTTGATGGTCCTCAGGTTTTTGAAGGATTTTGACATGCGTTTTTTGCCTTCCGACGGCCCGAGACTGCCCAAGAGCCCCCATCGCCCCAAGATCGCCCACGAGGCCTCCAAGATGGCATCAGAGCGGCCGAAGAGGCCCCCAAGACGGCCCCAAGACTAGAAGGCAAACAATCCACCCCCATAATAGCCACCCCGACACGCGAATTCGTTTAGTAAACGCGCCCAAAGAAAAAGATCGAACAGGGCAGGGCTGTTTGGTAAACGCCCAGGGCCGCTAGTAACGCCAAGTGTCCAGTACGGGTGATTCTTTCCTCCCATGAAAGAGGGCCCCAAGACGGCCATTCCACCGGGTGGCACTCCTCCTCCTCCTCCTCCTCCTCCTCCTCCTCCTCCTCCTCCTCCTCCTCCTCCTCCTCCTCCTCCTCCAGGGCAGGTGGCACGAGGCCGTTCCCAAATCACCGACGATGCACCTACTTCGCTCTGGGCGTTCTCCGTCGAAATCGGCCATCCGATGCCCATGATCGGGCCCCCGGGCCACCAAAAGCTGATCTCCGGGCCGGGACGAAGACCTGGCCCCCCCGGGGAAGGGGTCGGGCTCTCTTGGGCTGCGCATTGAACATTGTCAAACGTATGGTTAGGTCGGGCGTGTTCCCCTGCAGGCGAATGTTGGACATAAACTTAAGAATACCAGAAAATCATACAAACAAGCTAACAAATAATTGACACATCGCACCCAGACAATTGTTTGACCATTTTTGAATACTCCTCCTGTAGAGGGACAGGCCCGACGTAAACGTGTGGGTCCGTGGAAGGGGAAGGTGGCGCGCGAGGCCGCTTGCGTGGCCCCGGGAGGGGCCGGATGGCGCTCCGCGAGCTGTTGAGCAGGCCGAAGCTGGCGAGCTGGCACTCTGGGGAGCGTTTTTTTTGTATTCGGCGTTTCGATATTGGGCGGCTCGGGAATGAGGGGGGGGAGGAAGGGGGGGGTTGGCTCCGGGCCTCTGCTTACAATAATGTCTGCATGCAAGGGTGCTGCCTCTGGGGGAGGCTCCACCCGCTCGAAGCAGGCGCCAAAAAACGGCCAAGGTCTACTCCAGGGAGGTGAAGAGGGGGTGTGCGAAGGCCCGCGGCGATCGGCAAAACAAAGAATGAAAAAAAAATACCTGGGTCGAAGATGTTCATCATCAGGGCGTTGATGAAGTCCCAGATCCGCTGGCTAAGGGCGGCACCTGAGGGAAGCAGCGCAGGAATCCGCACGACCTCCTTCCACTCCCACGGCAAAGGATCAGGGAGAAGAGGCGAGGAGCTGATGCTTGGAAGCGCATCGGCCGCAGGATGAAAGATGAGAGAGTGGGCGCTGAGATGCGGGAGTTTTGCCACATCGTGCGCGCCATAAGCATATCTGGGAGGCTGAAGCCCGCCGGCGTGGCAGCCACGCCTGCCGCACGACATTCGCAGCAGATTCTCGCTGGGTAAAGGTCGAACACAGAGTTGCCCATCCGTGGTACACTCGGTCGGGCTAGACGGTGCCACGAAGTCCGAAGTCTGCTCGTAGAGAAGAGTAATCCCACCAGCCCTTTGGGCGACAGGTGGTCTAGCGAGATTCCTCTCCCCTCTTCCAAAAAAGACCCTCTTCCCCTACGGGGAGGGGTTTACCCCTCCCTTTTCCCCTTCCCTGACTTTTCTAGGGGGTCCTCGAGGTGTCAGGGCGTCCAAAACGGCCTCGGAGAGAAAGCCAAAATCGCTCGTTTACTAAAGTTTTGGCCCTATGTTTGCCTCTTGGGGGGGACCGAACGTTACACCACTGCCTCCTTTGATCGATGGCCTTCAAGATGGCCCCAAGAGGCCTTCCAGGGCTCCCAAGAGGGCCCCAAAAGAGCCCCAAGAGGCACCAGAGGCTTCCAAGGCGCCCAAAATGGCCTCCAAGACGGCCCAAGATGCACCCAAGACGGCCTGAGATGGCCTCCAGATGGCCTAAGACGGCCCAAAAAGCCCCCAAGAGGCCTCCAAGACGGCACAAGAGGCCTCCAAGAGGTCCTCCAGGAGGGCCCGAAGAGACCAAAATCATTGACGTTCCTCTGGTAGCTTGAAAGATTTTGGCACTTGCTTCTTTTCTGCATTCCGACGGCTCAAGACGGCCCCCAAGATCGCCCACGAGGCCTCCAAGATGGTCCCATGACGGCCCAAGAGGCCCCCAAGACGGCCCCAGGAGGGCCTAAGACGGCCCAAGATGCCCCCAAGACGGCCTGAAATGGCCTCGGGATGGCGCCAGACGGCCCAAGAGGCCCCCAAGAGGCCTCCAAGACGAACCCACAGGCGTCCAAAAGGTCTCCCAGGAGGGAACGAAGAGGCCAAAATCATTCATGTTCCTTAGGTTTGTTTGACAAATTTTGGCATTCCGACGGTTCAAGACGGCGCAAGAGGCCCCCAAAGTCGCCGAAAAGGCCTCCAAGATGGCCCCATGGCGGCCCAAAAGGCCCCCAAAATGGCCCCAGGAGGGCCCCAACACGGCCCAAGAGGCGCCCAAGATAGCGTCTACGAGCCCCTGATCTGCCCCAGAGGGCCCCAAGACGACCCAGACAGGCCCCCATGGCGGCTTCCGACGGCGTCAGGCAAGCCAGGACACCCTAAGACGGCCAAAGAGGCCCCCAAGAAGCCCCCAAAGGCCTCCCAAAACCTTCCAAGAGGCCCCCAGGAAGCTCCCAGGAGGCCCCAAGAGTGCCCGAAGAGGCGCCCAAGAGGCCTCCTTCTCCTCCTCCTCCTCCTCCTCCTCCTCCTCCTCCTCCTCCTCCTCCTCCTCCTCCTCCTCCTCCTCCTCTTCCCCTCGCCCCCACGCGGCTCCCAGGGATGACCCGAAGAGGCCTTCCAAGCCCACCCCCTTGCTCCCAAAGATCTCTCGGTTCATTCTGGTTGCTCGCTTTGTTTCCCTAGATGTGTCTCTCTCTCTTCGTCCCTTGTCCCGCCAGCTCTCGTGGGCAGGGCTTCTGAATGGGCTGGTGGGGATATTTGTTTTGGTCACCGGCGGACGCGTGAAGCAGTCGCCAAGAGGGGGGTCCGGGGCACGGGCCAGCCTAATTGACGACCGAGCCTCGCGCAAGACGGCCGGGCCAGCACTCAGAAGCGACTGCAGGGGGGCTGCAGCTGGAAGGAGCAGGCAGGGAAGTCTGCAGACGCCCAAGGTAGCTGTTGCAACGTGCAGGCCATGGCTGAAAGACGCCAATGTCGGAATGAAGCCTTGTACGCCAGGAGCGCATGATCGGCTGTGACTGGCGGGGATATGCGAAGCGTGAAGAATTATCCCGTCGCCAGTTGCAGCTTACGCCTTACACAAATCAAACACCTTGAACACAAGCAACATGGTGGATGATCGTACGTTTCTGTTTGAAGAAAACACTCAATACATATGATAACACATGAATGAATCGTTCGGGCTGCCTCTGAGACCGTTCTGAAAGCACGCCGCCAAAGCGACCCCTCGAGTAACACATCGAGACGTCGACACACTGCTTGCATCGGGGTCGGGCACGGGCCCAGCCCTGAGCGCATCGCCGCGACGGGCTGCACGCGCGCTGAGCCGGCCCCCCCCCCGCCCGGGCGGAAACATTAGGGGGGGCCGGCTCAGGGGGGGGGAACATCGAGCTCGAATCGCCGATACGTCGGCGATCACTCGGCTCGGCGGTGGGCCCCCGATGGCAAGCCCCCTAGAGGCATCGGTGATGAGTGGGCGATTGGGGGCTCGATGCGTCATCCGCTGAGCCAATCCCCGCCGCGCACGGTTTCCCCCGGGGCCGCAGGCGACCCGAGGAGGAGGAGGAGGACGAGGAGGACGAGGAGGAGGAGGAGGAGAAGAAAGAGGAGGAGGAGGAGGAGGAGGAGGAGGAGGAGGAGGAGGAGGAGGAGGAGGAGGAGGAGGAGGAGGAGGGGGAGAGGCTGGCTGGTGGCCAGCGTGGGCGTTCTTTGAGGGCTGCAGGGACAGCACCCCGAGGGCAGCCGGGAGGAGGACCAGCCGCGGCCTGACCTCAGTCGGCTCCCACATCCGCGCGCAGGAGACAACAGCTCCGGTGGAAGGAGGGGCCCCCCCGCCTCCCTGACGATCTCCAGGGGTAGCAGGGGAGGAGGGCATCCCGCCTTGCAGCAAGGGTTTCCCGAGTGAGCGCATGTGAGTGCGGACAGGGAGCTGTAAAAGGGATCCGCCCTGGGGTCGACCATCCAGCCTTTGCAAGGCATACAGCAATCTGCCAGCGTGGGTGGTGGAGACCATCCGGATCCGCCCCCAGCCCCCACCCCCGACCCACCTCCGCGGCCTCAGTCCTGCCTGATCCCCTTGGTGCCAGGACGCACTGAGCAGCCGGAGACGGCAGGGCGAGGGCGAAGGCGGCTGAGCCTGGACGGAGGAGTGGGCGGGGAGCCCTGGAAACTTCTTCGTTCCTAGCTTCCATCAGGTGGGAGAACCCTGCGCCCCCTGAGATGGCGAGGGGCTAGGAAGAGTTGGGGGTCCTCAACACACACACTTCCCCTCCGCGCAAGACCTGAACGGAAATCATGCCTCAGAGAAAGTGTGCTGGGATGCCCAGGACCATTTTCGCACGGCTTCTCGCCATCATCACCTGTCTGGAAGGCGGGGGTAGCGCTACGAGACCCCAGGGGCCTTCTCCGCACCGAGCCTCGCCCCCCATCTGGGCTCGTCCACTGGAAAAGGGAAGGGGGGGGGGGCGCTTGAATGCCCCAAAGGCCACCTTCGCACTGCAGCCCCGGGGCCCAGCCGGCGACGACGACGACGACGACGACAACGAAAGACGACGACAACGACGACGACGACGACGACGACGACGACGACGACGACGACGACGACAGCGGCAGCGGCGGCGGCGGCGCCGGCGCCGGCGGCGCCGGCGACGGCGGCGGCGGCAACGACAGGGGAGGGAGGGAAGGGGGGGGAGGACGGACAGAAGAGGGCAGGACCCCGAACCAGGCCCCCCCCCCGGAGCCTAGACGCAGTTTTTTCCTGCCGCACCCCGTCGTGGCAACGAGATTCCCCCCAGGGGCCACCGTCCCAGGAAACCAACACAGCGCAGCAGGGGAGAGGGAGGACAAGGACGAAAACGGGGACGAGGAGGAAGAGAGCAAGGGAAGCAGGAGCAGGAACGAGGGGGGAAGGAGAGAGGAGGAAACAGGAAGCACAGGAGGGCGGCGATGGGACGCCCCGGGGGTGCATCTTCACGCAGCCTCCCTGGCAGGGGAGAAAAGGAGGGCGGGGAGGGAAACAGGGGAGGGCCGGGTCGCGCTTTTCAAGGGGCTCCTCCCCAGAACTCCGTGGCACGGGAGTCCAGAGCACCTGCCCACTCTGCCAGCTGCTGGTAGCCCGGCGACCCCGGTTCGGCCCCCAGGGAGGCCCCTGGCTCCGCGCCCGCGCCCACCCCAGGGGCCTGGCCGAAGGCTGCGCGCTCCTCTGCCCATGCGCCGCATACATTGAGAGCATGGGGGAGGCCCTCCTCTGGAGGCAAGGTGGCCTCGCAGAAAATGCAGTACTGCAGCCTAGCCCATGAGCGCCTGCGGCTGCGGTGCGTGAGGATCAGGAGGCCCGCGCGAAAGCGCGAAACAGACCGCTGAGCACGCAAGCACGAGGTAGGGAGCCCAAGGGCGTAGCCCGTGGCAAGGAGGAGGAGGAGGGAGGAGGAGGAGGAGAAGGAGGAGGGAGGGAGGAGGAGAAGGAGGGCGGGTCGCCTAAACCCTTCGGAGAAACCCTCCACCCCGTCCCCGGCGGTTTCCGCGCCATAGCTCGGGCCTCTGGCGGCCGCTCGGGACGACGTGGGCACCCCACGGAGCGCGCTCTCGGCCAGGCGCAGCTGCTGTAGAGCATGCCGAGGTTGGAACTCCACGGCTTCCCCCCTGGGCCGTAGGTGACCCGAAGAGGAGGGGAAGGAGGAGGAGGAGGAGGAGGAGGAGGAGGAGGAGGAGGAGGAGGAGGGGGAGGAGGAAATGGAGGAGGAGGAGGAGGAAATGGAGAAGGGGGAGGAGGAAATGGAGTCGGAGTCGGAGTCGGAAGCCTTGGCAACTGGTGAGTCCACTGCTACTTTGCTGGGACGTGTCTCGCATGTGTGCGAGCTCGGTAGCTGCTGGCGGCGTTATCGGCATTAAAGGGGGTCAGCCTACGGGACCCCTGGCCTTGTTAGGCCCGTTTGGGCCCGCTGCAGCTCGATGCCGAGCCCCTCCAAAAATCACAAACATGGAACGTAGCGGCGGAGGTTTATGACCTTCAGGCCCATCCCCTCCGACTCGGGAACACGGGTCAAACTTGTGCCAATCTTTACCTAGCGAGACCCGTCTACTTTGTGTGCAGCTGTGAAGACTCCTCAGGCCCCTGTGGGCGACAACTGGGCGATGAGGGGTTCGATGCTACTCTCCAAACCTCTCCAAGAAAGCGTTCTGACCAGAATGTCGAGGCGAACCCGCGACGACGAGCGAGGTGTACAGCCAAGCTGTTGCAATAAGGAATGCGACATAAGGAACGAAGACTCTTCTAGACACCAAACGAGCCTGGATGCACGAGGAGGGCTAGGGGAACAACCGCTGAATGACCTAAAGAACAGCGAACCCCTTCCGACCGAAAGCGGTCCTTATTTCACCGTCTTTATTGCAGCGCCGGCAACAATATCAGTACATGCTGCTCTCCTGATTCAGGATCACGTCCTGTAACCCTCGATGACCCCTCCACATTTGTTGCCTCCCCCGTTGCCGCCCGCCCGATGCACTCCCCCTGACCGTTGCCGTCCATTGGCGACCACATGTGAATCCCAGCCCTGCCGGTCAGATTTCTGAACAACTGGCTGGGGATCAGAGGCCGAGGGATGTCTGCAGCTAAATAATATGAGCCCCTAAGGGGGTGTCCGATACCCATCGGTAAGTATAAGAGGGCCTGCAGGGGTAGCGTTCGCAACTGGTCGCAGATCAGGGAGACGTAAGACTCGGGCTCGGGGGACTCGGCTTGGCCTGTCAGGGCCATCATGAAAATGACGCGACACAATCTGAAGTCTGACGCGAGCTCCCGCTGCGAACATCCCACGGAAACCGGGCCGTCAAAATCTGGGACCTGCTCGTCAGAAAACGTGAGCACGCCCGAGTCCCGACGTACTCGAGTCTTGCGCTTCCCCGAGCATGTGGTGACGAAAAGGTACCGATACTGCTACACCCCGGACCTCTCCCGTGGTGCGTTCTGACGAGGATTTCGAGGCGGATCCAGCGGTGGCGACGAGGGCCTCCCAGGAGGCCCAAAAAGGGGCAAACGGACGAGGGGTAGAGGTATGGGCACCTTTTTCTCCTCCGAGAGCAGAGCCCGCCCCAGGGCGGCGGCGCCGTGGTCCCGGTCGCTGAACAGCCGCGGGTACTGCAGCTGCAGGGTGCGCTCGACCCCCCGCTTCGCGGCCAGCAGGCACACGGGCCGCACGAAGAGCGCGGCCTGCTCGGGCCGCTCGCCTCCACGGCGGCGCTCGCCGAGGGGCACGGCTGGGAAGGGGGCAGGCAAGACGAGGCCAGGCCAGAGACAACATCGCGCAAAGAGAATCCACGGACCTCTGAGATCTGGCGACTCTGGAGCATGCACCGGACGCAGCGGCCTTCTCAGAACGTTCTGGAATGCTCCGGGAACGATCCCGAACGTGCTGGAACGATTATCACGTCCTAGGCCAGCCCGATGGGACCCCAAAGCTTTCGGCAGGATCAAACACGACGCGTGGATCCAGGCATTAATGAGATATGGTATCCGAAAGCCCTTAGCATCCGTTATTGCAACCAAAAATAGGACACGGCGTTTTTCCCACTAAAAAATCCTGCTGGGGACTGCACTATGTGGCAAAAGCGCGCAGGAGTAGCACAAGGATGCCATCCACTGAAACTTCAGATTCGTTTGGATCTCATGGTAGGGGGAGGCAACCTTGGACAACACCGTCAGAATATCTGTGAATAATGATGGTGTGGCGCGAGACCCTTCCATGCAGCCGATCGTCTAAAGATCTGTAGTAAACGTCACAGCATATGTAAAACAGATATATTAAACAAAACATGTTCAGCAAGCCGTCTAGCTTCCACAGCGGTGCGAAGAGCAAGTCTGAGGTTACAAGACGTTTGGACGAAGCCAGGAGGATGTTCAAAAAGATGCACATGTGTTGGAACAATGTCCGTATCAGTTGAGTATCGGAAGCTCCGTTTGTTTGTGCCATGGCGATCCTCAAGTGTTTACGCACTTGACCACAACATGTTTAAAACCTTTCCAGCAGTGTGTCTCCGACAAACCGTGCGGATCCAGCACTCCAAGTATTCTCAGGGTTTCAAATGCAGAAGCTCTATCGTTTGGGCAAGCTGATCTCCTGAGTGATACGCTGCGTGCAAGGTGTGTGTGCAAGCCTATGCAAAGACATCCGACCTGCCCGACGATGACATGTTCAGGAAGGCTGGTGCGTGAGCCAGGGAACACTGCGCCAAGACAGCGGCACCTGGCCTGGGAGCGCTGCCGCCCCGAGCTGCAGTGGGCTCGGTGCGTGTGCGAGCTGGCGTAAAGAATTGTCTTCGTGCCGGCATCTCCGACGCCCGTCAAAAGCTCGGCGGCGAGCGAAGGGGGGGGGGACGCGAGCAGGGGCGGGCCTGCTGAGTCGGGAATGTTCTGACCCGGGTCAGTCCAGACCCGGGTCAGTCATGACCCAAGTCATGACTTGCAGAATCCTGCAAGATCCCGCACCCAAACCTGGGTCAACGCGAAGGATCCTGCAAATTCCTGCGGGATCCGGGTCAGTGCGACCCTGGCCCTGAAGGATCGTGCAAGATCGGGCGCTCTGGCTGACCCCCGTTTGCATTGACCCCCGTCTCGTGAGCCCCGACTGAGAAGGCGCGGAAGTCCCCCCGCCTCCTGGGAAGTCGTCTGAGCCTTCCCCGGAGAAAAAGCAAAGACTTCTCAGAAGGCGCGAGGGCTTCCGAGAACTCCCCACGACTTGTTTGAGAAGGCCTCCTCCTTCTCTCGCTTCCCCCCGCCCTGGGGGACACCAGAAGGCACCGATACCGCGCTACTCCCTGGACCTCTCTTGGGGGGTGCGTTCTGACCAGAACCTCAAGGCGAATCCAGCGGTGGCGACAAGGGCCTCCCAGGAGACCCAAAAGAGGATCAACGAGGGAAGGGTAGCAGTATGGGTAGCTTTTTCCTTCTCTGACCTGCACGAATTCCCCCGGGGCCGTAGGCGACCCGAAAAGGAGGAGGAGGAGGAGGAGGAGAAGGAGGAGGAGGAGGAGGAGGAGGAGGAGGAGGAGGAGGAGAAGGGGGAGGAGGAGGGGGAGGAGGAGAAGGAGGAGAGGAGAGAGGAGGGAAAGGAGAGGAGGAGAAGGAGGAGGGGGAGAAGGAGGAGGGGAGCAGGAGGAGGAGGAGGAGAGGAGGAGGATGAAGAGGAGGAGGAGGAGGAGGAGGAGGAGGAGGAGGAGGAGGAGGAGGGAGGAGGAGGAGGAGGAGAGGAGGAGGAGGAGGAGGGAGGAGGAGGGGGAGAAGGAGGAGGAGGGAGGAGGAGGAGGAGGAGGAGGAGGAGGAGGAGGAGGGAGGAGGAGGAGGAGGGGGGAGGAGGCGGAGGAGGAGGCGGAGGGGGAGGAGGAGGAGGAGGAGGAGGAGGGAGGAGGAGGAGGAGGAGGACGGGTCGCCTAAGCCCGTCGGAGAAACCCTGCACTCTGAACCTCGCGCCGCCGCCGAAGATCCCAGTTCGCGTGCAGCCCTCGAGCCGTGCGCGCACGCGCCTGCCCAGGAGGCCGCGCAGCGCAGGCCGGCGAAGGGCCCCCGACGCTGCCAGCTCGCCGCGCCCGAGGCGGGCTGCAGCTGGCGGGGGGGCCCTGCGACGGGGGCAGGCAAAAAGGTGTAGGCCGAATGAACAAAAGCGACAGACCTAGGCCCTCCGCCTGAGATGCGGTCCCCACCACCATTCTCATCCGTCTCCTCCTTCTCCTCCCAACCCCCCTTTCCTCCTCCCTCCTCCTCCTCCTCCTCCTCCTCCTCCTCCTCCTTCTCCCCCATCATCGTCATCCTCGCCGTTAATATAATCGGCATCCTCATCCCTCCTCTTATGTTGTTCCCATCGTACTGAAGGACATATCCCAGAAATATGTCCGAGCACCCGGGAAAGTGTCGAAACAGTATCGAACGAGTGCCTCCCAGGGCCCGGCACGCAAAAGCCCTTCAACATTCGGTACTCTCCCTGTGCTGGAACTGCTTTCTGGCGATCCAGGCTAAAGTAGGTTGGAACATCATAACCGCCCTCGCTCGTCGCAACCACCGTCCGACCCTCCCGCGCCGCGCGGGCGGGCGTAGGAACAAAGATAGGCGACACCAACACCAACAGGGCGAGGAGATGCGAGGAAGCAAGGGGGAACTCGCTGGTGGTGTGCCCGCCCCCCCCTCTCGCTCGAGACACCCCCAGCCCCCAGCTCGGAGAGGCACCGTGGACCTCCTCGATGGCGGTGGGCCCCCTGGTGGTGTTGGTATCGCTCCTCCTCCCTCCGAGGGCGGGGGCGGCGGCCCGGCGGAGCGCGCGCCTCGCTGCTGCGGGTCCCCGCAGGCGCCGCGCGCCACGCGCCCCTGCCCGGGCGGCCTCGAGGGGTCCACGAGCGCCGCCCAGAGCTCCTGGACCTGGCCGGGGGGGGCGCCGCGAGGACGCAGGACGTGCCACAGGACGCAGGACACACAAAAAAATGCCCCCCCCCTCCAAGCGACCACAAAACGCGCTCCTTCAAATGAGAGAACGCGTTTCACAGGCGCTCGCCTTGGGGACATTCGGCGGCGCGCTTCTAACCAGGAGGTGGGCCCCCCCCCAACACTCGGCGCCGTCCCCACCCCCACCCTCAGCGCCGGCGCCGCGCCGGCGCTGGCGGCCGCCAGCAGCGCCCACGGCGGGGACGCAGCGACGATGACCAGAAGCAGCTCAAGGGGGGGGGGTTTGACCCCCCCCCCCCCCGCGGGGGGGTCCAATCCCCCCCCCCCTCGCGCCGGCGCCGGCGCTGGCGCCGGCCAGCAGCGCCCGCCCTGGCGCCGGCGACCGCGGGGACGCAGCGACGATTACCACCACTACAACCAACACCACTACTACCACCACCACCACCGCCTCAACCCACCACCACCACCAACAACAACAGCACCACCACCACCACTACAGCCAACACCACCACCACAACCACCACCACAACTCACCATCATCACCACCACCACCACAAAAACCCACCACCACTACCACAACCACCACCACCACAATCTAACACACCACCACCACCACCACCAACAACAACAACAGCACCACCACCACCACCACAGCCAACACCACCACCACAACCACCACCACAACTCACCATCATCACCACCGCCACCACAAAAACCCACCACCACTACCACCACCACCACCACCACAATCTAACACACCACCACCACCACCACCACCACCACCACCACCACCATCGCCACAACCACAACCAGCAGCACAACCCACCGCCACCACCACAAACCACCACACCACCACCACCACCACCACTGCCACCACCGCCACCACCACCACAGCAAACATCCACAAACCACCGCCACCACCACAACTCACCCCCACCACCACACAACCTCATCCACCACCACCACCACAACTCACTATCACAACCACCACCGCCACCAACGCCACCACACCACCTCACCTCCACCACCAACAACAGCACCACACAACCACCACCACCACCACCACAGCCACCACCACCACCACAACCACCACCACAACTCACCATCATCACCACCACCACCTCACAAACCCATCACACCTACCACCACCACCACCACCACAATCCACCACACCACCACCACCACCACAACCACCACCACCACCACCACCAGCACAACCCACACCCACCACCACAAACCACCGCCACCACCACCACCAGCACCACCTCCACAAACCACCGCCACAACCACAACCCACCACAACCACCACCACCTCCACCACCACAGCAAACCACCACCACCACCACCACTTCCACCACCAAACAACCACCACCACCACCACCACCACAAACCACCACCACACCACCACCAAACCACCACCACCACCACCACCACCACCACCACCACCACCGCCACAACCACCACCACCACAACAAACCACCACACCCACACCACCAAAACCACCACCACCGCTACCACCACCAGCACCACACAACCACCACCACCACCACCACCACCACCACCGTCGTCCTCGTCGACGCTCCCCGCCACCGCCGCCCGCCGCCGCAGGCGCCGGCCAGCGCCGGCCCAGGAATGGAAATCGTCGTCCCCCCGCCGAATCGCCAGCCGCCGCCGACGCAAGCGCCAGCCCGAGGAGAGGGGAAGCACGGGGGGGGGGTTGAAACCCCCCCCGTGACGGGGGGGGGCGGGTTGAACCCCCCTTCACCCACTCCGTCACAGGAGGGGGGGGGTTCGAACCCCCCCCCCTCCATCCAGGGGGGGGGTCCGGTTCCCCCCCCCAAAGCGACCACAGAACGCGCTGTTTCAAATAAATAGACACAAATAACCAGATTACACAAGTAACCAGATTCCCATATTTTCCTATATCTCCTGGGTGTCTGTCTCCCCCCCCACGTTCCATATTTTCCACGTTCTCCGGGGAATCGACGGTCAATCGTGTCTGTGTGTTTTCCCTCCTGAAGTACGACCATCGTCAACTACAGTATTCGGCCTAACCTAAGGAGCGATGAATGAGGAACGACGCCCCATTTTTCAGTGAGCCTACGAGGTCCGAAGGAACACCAGGGGGCTCGCCGCCCAAAAGGCACCGGAACGCATGCAAGCCAAAGGAACAACCGAACCCCTTTTGAAATGTGAGCGTTCCTTGTTCAGGCTGGACCCTGTACAGCCCTCCACGAGATCAAGCGCCAACTTTTCAGATGCTGGTCGACGCGCGGAATGCGGCTCACGGGGTCAGTTTTGCGTCGTTGCGGTCACCCATGTCGGCGCGAACATTGACACGTTGGCGCCCCAGGGCGCGAGCCACGTCGCGGGAACAACTCGCAGTTGATTCCGAGGAGGGATGTACCCTCGTTAAGCTTAAACTCAAAAATAGGGGACATGCCCCTTCGAGGTCGGCACGCCCTTCAATGTCGATACGACGCCCCTTCCATGTCGGGGCCAGGGCAAATTGTTCTGACAGGGAGCGAGTCGGATGTTCGAAAATGACCGACATTAGAGGGGCGCGGCATACAAATACCTCGCACTCATCGCTAGTCAAGCAAATACAGTCCCGTACACAAGTCAGCTACGTAAGTCATGTTCCCGGATAGCTCGCAGAGAGCTCAGAAGGTTTCAAACTAAAAAGCCAAGGAGCCGCAGGGTAGCCCCGGAGATCGTTCCGGCGGCGGTCCAGAAGCCCTATAGGCGCGCCCTGCTTGAGCCGGCAGCGGGTCCCGACGGGCCTAATCCTAAGCGTTTCCCAATACGCGCGCCCAGAAGCTTTCCAGAAGGTCCTTCGTAAGCTCTCTCCAGGTCCTTCAAGAGTACTTCGCCAGGCCTTTTCCATGCAATTCGGGTGCCCCGCTATCCGGTCTTGGACTACACAATTTTGGCGCCCATTCTGACGAGGGTTGTACTATATGATTACCCCAACGGTATGACTAGGTGGGACGTCCCTTTTTGTTCGGTCTCGTGCGTGGTTTTTTCGCAGGATGATCCAGGATTCGGGAGCGGCCAAGAGGGGGGTGTCCAAGAGGGGGGGTGCAAATCATGACCGGCGGCATGTGCGCGGCCCAGCGGGGGGGCCAGGGACGTAATGAAATAAGAAGAGGCGCCATGAAATCAGGGGAAATATCATGGCCCCCGCCATGATATCCACCCCCCCCCCTAGTCATCACCCCCCTCTTTTCCGCCCCCGAAGGATGCTCCCCGCCGAGAAAAAAAAGTGCACACTTCCGAGCGATGCCGAGGCCAAGAGAAAAAAGCACGCCGAGGAAGAACCCCACAAGAGGGGGGACGGGGAGCCCGAGGCCGCCCGGTCTCCGGCAGCCGTCCGCGGGCGGTCTCGCGCCGGAGACTTCCTCGCACAAGCTGTTCGGAAGTCGTGCGCTCGCGCGTGCGCCGGCCGCTGGCTTCAGCCAGCTGCCCACCCGGCGGTAGGTTCTGATCGCGCGCTCGGTCGCTGTATAATTAGGCTCGCGCGAAGCCCGCCCGACCTCTTCGGATGCCGCCTGCGCTTCCGCTTGCGGCCGCGACAAAAAAGTATGCCGGCCGCGTGTTTGGTCCGGACGGTCGCGATCCCGTGTGGAACGCATGGCCGTGCTCTCCGTGCTCTCAGGGCGCGTTGCTTCGGCAATCCTCATCCATGGGATCGTCTGGTCTGGGGACGTGGCCTGTGGGCGGTGAGTTTGAAGGAACGACCGACCCAGGCGCAGAGGCCAGCGAAGTAGACCTGGGTGAGCGCAGCACGCAGCAGATAGCTTCTCGTCTTTTTCTTCCTCCTTCACAGTTAAACAGTATGAATACTACGTAGCACCACGCAGATGCGGATAATAATGAGGAGGCGGTGGGGGCGGTGGCAGGTTGCGAGTCTCTTGAGAAGCCCGCCGCAGGCGCCAGAGTTGCATAACTTATACAACGAGACCGCCGCATGCGCCGATCTTTTCGCTAAACCAATGTGGGTGGGTCGCGGGTGGGTCGCGGGGGGGTCGCACATGGGTCGCGGGCGGGTCGAGGGTGGGTCGCTGGTGGGTCGCGGGTGGGTCGCGGGATGGGTCGCGGGGTGGGTCGAGGGGTGGCTCGCGGGGTGGCTCGTGGGGTGGGTCGCGGGGTAGGTCGCGGGTGGGTCGCGGGTGGGACGACGACAACAAACAACAACAACAACAACAACAACAACAACAACAACAACAACAACAACAACAACAACAACAACAACAACAACCACAACAACAACAACAACAACAACAACAGCAACAGCAAACAGCAACAGCAACAGCAACAGCAACAACAACAACACCAACAACAACAACAACAACAACAACAACAACAGCAACAGCAACAGCAACAGCAACAACAACAACAACAACAACGACAACGACAACAACCACAACCACAACCACAACAGCAACAACAACAATAACAGAAATATCACTAACAACAACGTCGACAACAACAGCAACAACAACAACAATCACTTTACCCGAACGCTCAGTGTTCTCACCAGTGCCAGGGTTTTCATACGACGCCCGCCAATACCCCCACTTTGTGGGGGGGCCGGTTCAAGCTCTACCACATTTCCAAACGACTCTTCGCCACCACCCACACCCAGCTTCCCGCCCTATGACGTTCGGACACTTCACTTCGTGGCCTGCGGACGACCGTGGCTACTACACTGGCGCATGGGTACAGTGACTTGTTGTGGTAACATTTTCTGGACGCTAGCTTAGTATACGACTTTTCCCCCTGTTCCAACACTGGACACCTATACTGGTTTTTGGAAAAACCATTGTTTTTTTTAGGATTCGGACAGCGCGCGCGGGTAGAAATTTTGAAAAGTCGTGCAGGTGTTTTTCGAGGACCTACGGTGCGATTCGTGTGATTTTATGATGCGCGGTGCTAAAATTCTTAAGAACCCAATGGTTTTTGGAGATTTCGGCGTGCGCGCGCGAAGAAAAAACGAATGTGTCCCGCATGGTATTATTTGACAGGGATGATGGCCCTGGCAGGTGCGCAACCGTTGTCGCAGAAGTTCGAAAAAGTTGCTCGCAAAAGCCCGTTTGACAGAAATGTTTAAAAAGTGTTGGGTTTCCTACGAATCCGCAAGAGCGCGCGGGATGAGATTTTGACATTTTTTTGTTGAAAAACCATTGGTTTTTTGATGTTTTTATGTTAAAATCGCTCCGAACACTAAGCTTTTGGAAGGATTTCGTCTTGCGCGCGCGAATGTCCACTTTACCTTATTTTTTGCAAGGGATTCTTGAAATTTGATTATATTAGAACAAGAAATGTCATTTTATAGTGTTTTTTGCAAGGGAAAACGGATTACAACAAAACAACCGGATCTTGATCACATCGTTTTACCTGAGGCTTCCTCACGAAAATGATGAAAATGTAGCTGCGGCCTAGGCGGCGCAGGGGGGGCGCGCACCAGGGGGCCCAACAATAATTATTCTTTAGAATTAATAATGTTCAACAACAACAACAACAACAACAACAAGTATAACAATAGCAGCAACAACCACAAAACCAATCATTTTAAGACTGTTCGCCCTTATCTGCTCGAATGTCCAATAACGCGTATTTCCAAACAACCCTCGATACCCGACCTCTTCGTCTTCGATCGAACCCCTTGTGGGGGGTATACCTTTCTTCCCTGCAGGCCGGGCCCCGGAAAGCGGCGGGGCGGCCGCGGACCGTCGGCCTGGCCAGCGGCAGCGCTGCTCGATGGGGCGGCCGCGGACCGTCGACCCGACCCCAAGAGGGACGGACAGGGGAACAACCACGACGACGACGACGACGACGACGAAGACGACGGCGACGACGACGAGCGAAAGCGAGAGCGAAAGAGAACGACAGCAGGGCCACAAGGACACGAAGTAGGCCACGAAGGGCAACAGCGGGGACACGAAGGGAATGCGTATGGAGCCACGAAAAGCGCGAACGAGCGGGGGCCACGAAGGGCAGATAATGCGGGGCCACAAAAGGCAGCGATGGGGCCACTGAGGGTAGCAACTGGGCCACGTAGGACAGATGCATATGGGGCCACCACGGGCGCGAATGAGCAGGGGCCACGAAGGGCATACATATATTGGGCCACGAAGGGCAGCGAGGGGGTCACGAAGGGATGCAACGTGGCCACGAAGGGCAACGAGGGGGCCACGAGAGGCTGCAACGGGGCCACGAAGAGCATACATATATGGGGCCACGAAGGGCAGCGAGGGGGCCACGAAGGGATGCAACGTGGCCACGAAGGGCAGCGAGGGGGCCACGAAGGGCTGCAGCGGGGCCACGAAACAAAGCGAAGGGCCACGAAGGACTGCAACGGGGCCACGAAACGCAGCGAGGAGGCCACGAGGGGCTGCAACGGGGTCACGAAGGGCAGCGAGATCCAGATTCCTATGTTATCTGTCAGGGAGTCCCAAGCGTGAGCGCGATTCCTGGGTGCCTCGGTATCGGGAGCGCGGCGCATGAGTAAATTGCAAGAAATTCCAACGCAAAGGCGCTAGTCTTCAATAGATTACAAGCAAGTCTCCAGCGAGAGCGCGACTCCAGAGCGCCTGGAGAATAAATGCGAAGGAAGTCCCAAGCGAGAGCGCGATTCCTGAATAAAACGCGAGGAAGTTTCGGGCGGGAGCGGAGGTCCTGGCAAATTTGTGAGGAAGTCTCAGGCGGGAACCGCTGTTGCTGTAAACCGGGGGCCAACGACACAGTTTAACCCTCAAGACCTTCCCTCATAAAAAACAGGGTGCGAGCCCCGGGAAGGGCACTTCAATCGGAAAAAAAAATGCACCGGACGGGGGGGATCAACAATGATTATTCTTCGGAAGTGAGAAGTCAACAGAAACAACAACAACAACAACAACAACAACAACAATTACAACAACAGCAGCAACAGCAACAACACCACTCATTTTAAGACTGTTCGCCCTTATCTGCTCGAGTGTCCAATAACGCGTATTTCCAAAGCCCTCGATACCCGCCCTCTTCGTCGTCGAACCTCTTTTGGGGGGTATACCTTTCTTCCCTGCAGGCCGGGCCCCGGAAAGCGGCGGGGCGGCCGCGGACCGTCGGCCTGGCCAGCGGCAGCGCTGATCGGTGCGGCGGCCGCGGACCGTCGACCCGACCCCAAGAGGGACGGACAGGGGAACAACCACGACGACGACGACGACGACGACGAAGACGACGGTGACGACGACGACGACGACGAAGACGACGGCGACGACGACGAGCGAAAGCGAGAGCGAGAGAGAACGACAGCAGGGCCACAAGGACACGAAGTAGGCCACGAAGGGCGACAGCGGGGACACGAAGGGAATGCGTATGGGGCCACGAAGAGCGCAATCGAGCGGGGGCCACGAAGTGCAGATAATGCGGGGCCACAGAAGGCAACTATGGGGCCACTGAGGGTAGCAACTGGGCCACGTAGGACAGTGAGGGGGGCACAAATGGCGACAGCGGAGCCACGAAGGGCATGCACATGGGGCCACAACGGGCGCGACTCCTGGGTGCCTGGGTGTCGGGAGCGTAGCGCTTGGGCAAATTGCAGCAATAATTCCAACGCAAGGCCATTCTTCAGTAAATTGCAAGCAAGTCTCCAGCGAGAGCGCGATTCCAGAGCGCCAGGAGAGCGATTCCTGAATAAAGTGTAAGGACGTCCCAAGCGAGAGCACGATTCCTGAATCAAATGCGAGGGAAACTCGGGCGGGAGCGGGGGCCCTGGCTAAATTGTAAGGAAGTCTCAGGCGGGAGCCGTTGTTGTTGTTGTAACCCGGGGGCCAGGGGCCCAGTTTGAGCATCAAGACTTTCCCTGTCAAAAAGCAGGGTGCGAGCGTCGAGGGGCACACTTCGATTTAGAAAAAACAATATGCTCCCGCGGGGGGATCAACAATAATTATTCTTCAGAAATGAGAATTCAACAACAACAACAACAACAACAACAACAACAACAAAATAACAAACACAACAACACACAACGTAACAAGCAGAATGCTCACAACGGATCACCACTTCAGCCGCGCACCCAGGGGCAATGAATGACCGTTCGGCCCCCTCACTCTAATCTCCTCTCCCCTGATGACGTCTGGAAGATATCCGGCCACCCTCCGCTTACGGTTTTTACACACAAAAGTTCTAGGAACTGGGTTTTCGCATGGGTTTGTTTTGTTTCATGTTGCTCCCGCTGAAGCGCTGGCCTCATTTTCGGGCTTCCGCTCGATCCGCATCGTGCTCCCGCTGCAACGCTGGCCTCGTTTCTGTGTTTCCGCTCGTTCCGAATCGTGCTCCCGCTGCAGCGCGGGCCTTCCTTCCAACTAGGCCCCAAAATTAAGAAAATGCCCCCCGAAAAAAACATCGGAAGTGATTATACATTCGGTGTCGATGTGTTGATTTGTTGGGCCGCAGAAGCCCCCCCGGACGTCCTCGTTTTCAGAGAGTATCAAGCGGGAGCCCCGTTTCTGCTTTGAGACGGCGATGTTGACAGAAGAGCCAGCGGATGCTCTCCATCACCCCTGCCTTGGAGCTTTTCGGGGAGCCAAGGGAGCTAGACATGGAGCCGCCCGACTCCAGCACAGCCCAGACCTTTCGAAGACGATCCACTTACTCTCCAAAGAACCTCGCGCCATGCCATGAAATGCTGTGCGTTGTTGTGCTCTGCGCCGCTGTGCGATGCCATGCTTTGCGTTGCAATGCTTTGAGATGCAACGCTCAACTGCGCAACGCCACGCCGTGCTGTGGGATGCTACGCTCTGCCGTGCTCTTCTACGCCATGCCGTGCCGTTCTCTACCATGCATCGTGTAACCAATCCCGATCAATCCCCTGCTCGACATCCGACCGTGCGCACAGAAAGGATAGCTACGCCTTGGTGAACAATGGGAGGGAAAGTTAGGACGTCAGATATGACGCGAGCGCACCTAGCTTGTCTCCCTCCCCCTCCCCCTCCCACTCCCACTCCTCCTCCTCCTCCTCCTCCTCCTCCTCCTCCTCCTCCTCCCCCTCCTCCTCCTCCTCCTCCTCCTCCTCCTCCTCCTCCTCCTCCTCCTCCTCCTCCTCCTCCTCCTCCTCCTCCTCTTTTGCGTGCGGGTGGTCCGAGGGCGGGCCTCGGGACCGCACGCCTACTTGGCCTGAAAAAACTCTACAGGGCAGTTTTTGATACATGGGATGTTTAAAAATATCGGATTCTAAGTACATGGCTAATTCATGAAGAAAGTTGTGCATGAACTCCTCGTTGTCTTTACTACTGAATCCCTGCATTTTTTATACATGATCCGCACGCGGAACATGTATCAAAAACGGCACTGTATAATCATGTTCCGGGAGGCCGCTTCCGAACACTATTTGCGGCGGTGCCCCAAAAAATAGTCTCCCCGAACGGGCTTTCCCGTGTTGTGGTCAAGACTACTTTGCATACGGTCGCGGTATCACGTCCGGTTCCTGTGAGCCACGACACGGTCGGGCCAAAGGGGCCCCTCGCACTCACAGAGCGACTTCTGAGCCCGCGGGCGGGCAAAACACCCACAGACACGACAGACCACAAATCCCGCACACTCCACGATCTCGTGTTCACGAGAAAGGGGGAACTGGGGGCCTCCTCGTCATCCTTCTCCTCCTCCTCCTTCTCCTCCTCCTCCCACGTACCCCCCCTCCTCCTCCTCCTCCTCCTCCTCCTCCTCCTCCTCCTCCTCCTCCTCCTCCTCCTCCTCCTCATCCCATGTACTCCGCCTCCTCAACATGCCTGAAACGTACTTACTCCCCCTCCCCCGGATCCCTTCTCCTCATCGTCAGCATCCTCCTCCCTTCCTCCTCCTCCTCCTCCCCCCTCCTCACTCCTCCTCCACCTTCCATTTCCCCCCCCCCCGTTCTCCTCCTGGCTCCCCCCGTGCGACCTTGAGGATCAGGGACTGCCGATCCTCCTCCGGAAGCCTCTCCTCGGGCCTGCTGCGAAGGCACGGGGGTGCGCGACGAAGGCGGGGAGAGTCAGGTCTCGGCACTCACGGAAGAGAAGGGGAGAAGGGGAAGAGGGGGAGGGAGGAACAGACACACACACACACACACACACACTGCACGGGAACCGACGTGGGTCGCCTCACTCCAATCGTCCCAAGATCGACGATCGATCTCTTTCCGTCAAGGATCGGTCGAGGACCGACGATCGATCGGAAATCAAAGATCGAGGATCGACGACCGATCGAGCAATCGAGGATCGAGGGTCGTGGGTCGACAAGCAGTGTCTCTTTGTGCCGAAGATCAGTCGAGGATCGACGATCGATCGGCGATCGAAGCCTGAGGACCCAGGCAGGGCATGAGCAGATGGGAGCAGGAGAGCAGGACCGGACGAGAGGGTGCCTTTGCCCCCCCACGCGCTGGCGCACCACCTCCCCCGGCGCAGCCCACCACCTGCAACGTCAGGCGGAACTGACGCCCGAGAGCGCCCCGCGGCCCGCTCTCGCCACGCGGTGGCGCCGTTCGGCCGCTGGAAGAAAAAAGACGAGGCTTCGCGAGTCGGCTGCCGGGCTTTCTTGCAGCTCGATATACGTTTGCAGCCCCTGGCAGTTTGCAGCCCTGCCCCGGCCTGGTCTCTGCCCGAGCTGCGGCGGTAGGCCTGGTCTCGGCCTGCCCCCCTCGGCGACTTCCTGGTCTCGGCCTGAGTTGCGGCGGTACAGTCGGGGCCTTGACCTAAGGAACCCAAAAGAAGGAACGAGGCCCCTTTTTTCCACGAGTGAAACTTCGATTTCCGATCGAAAACCTGAGGAAAACCCGAGGCAAGCTGCGAAACACTTTAAGGAACGCGGAGCCCCTCCCCAACGAAAAGGGTTCCTTCTTCAGGGCCCCGACTGTAGGCCTGTCTGCGACAGGTAATTCAGGACCTCGCGCGGCCCGCTCGGACCTGGACACGCCGCCGGCGCGCCCGCCGGCGGCTGGTAGCTAAAAGGGGAGTCGGCCGCCGGCTCCTCCTGCGCGGGGCGCCCGCTTCTCGGGCCGAGGGCGCCCAGTGGCGGGGCCCGGAACCAGCCGAGCGCGGCGGATGTCGCGCAGTCCCCCTTTCCCCTCTGGCCCAGACGACAATCCTCCTCCTCCCTCCTCCCTCCTCCCTCCTCCCTCCTGTTGCCTGGCCCAACAGAGGAGAATAGGCGGCGGCCGGGGGGGGGGGAGTGAGAAGGGGCGGGCCTTCTCAGAAGGCTCGGAAGTTCCCCCGCATTCTGAGAAGTGACCTAAGCCTTCCCCGGAGACGCAGGAAACGTCTCAGAAGGCCAGAGGTCTTCTGGGAACTCCCGCCGCCTTCTGAGAAGGTCTTTGCCTTACCACTTCCCCCCCCTTGCCCACCGCCAAGAGAAGGGAGGGAGGAAGGGGGGAGGAGAAAGGCCCAGACTTCCCACGCGGCGGAAAGATCCCGGCAGGTGGATCTCGACGCTCGGCGTCTGGTGGCCGCCTCCAGGCCCCCAGGGCCGTCAGCGGGCACCTCAGGATGAGAAAACGGTCCCTGGGATGGGGGTCAGGAGCCTGTTGGACGGACCTGCATGCCCGTTCAGGGGCTGTCATGGCACCTGGATTGCATCGTCTTCGCCTCCCTGGACGCTGTCGTGAGCCGCCTGATCCGCGGCCCTGCGCGCGTTAGGTAATTTAGTCGCGTCCGCGGCCCGTTCGCGACCTTCCGCCGCTGGCGCTTCCGCCTGCGGCTGTAAAAAAAAGGGGGTCGGGAGCCCCAGGCGCCGACGACTCGAACACAAACTGGTCGCAGGAGGTCCAGGGCGCAAAGGGAAGAGCGCGGTCGGGGGCTTGTAGAGAAGAAGTGGGAGGACGCAGACTCCGTGTGGGTTCCCTGAAGCTGTAGCGCATTGTGTCACGACCCGTACGGCGTCACGGCTGGGCCGAGCTCAGATCCAACAAACCCGCAAGGGCGTTCGAACATGAGCATGCATGTACACCGGACTCACTTCTATAGCGCTCACTTCTATAGTGCTCACTTTGAAATTGTGGTCCGGAAGGGGCCGCACATGCAGGCACATGCCGCACAATCGCACGCACATGCCCATGCCAATATAAAAAAAGCCTTAACAGCATTGCCGCACATGCGCGCACATGCCACACCGTCCGACGCACACTCGAATGCACGGTCAAGCAAAACTCTGAAAGCATAGACGCACATGCCAGCACATGCCGCAGAGATGTCGCAGGCGATAGTGGGCATTTCGCAACCCAGAGTTGCGAGGATGTCTCAGGCAAGCGTGGCCGGACCACCATGGGGCAAGGCATCTTGGAAACCAGAGTGGCGAGGATGTCGCTGGTCAAGGTGACCAGACCACCATGGGGCAGGACACCGCCGAGGTCTGAGTTGTGAGGATGTCTCAGGCGAAAGTGGCCTGACCACCATGGGGCAAGAGATCTCTGAGGTCAGAGTTGCGCGGATGTCTCTGGCGAGAGTGGTCTGACCACCTCAGCCCAGGGCGTCTCGGAACCCAGAGTTGCGAGGATGTCTCAGGCAGGAGTGGCCTGACCACCTGCTCAGGGCATCTCGAAACCCAGAGTTGCGAGGGTCTCAGGCGAAAAAGGCCGAGACATTATGGAGCAGGGCATCATTGAGGTCATAGTTGTGAGGATGCCTCAGGCGAAAGTGGCCTGAACACCTCAACTCAGGGCGTCTCGGGCGAGGATTCTAAAGCGAAAGTGGTCTAACCACCTCAGCTCAGGGCGTCTCGGAACCCAAAGTACCGAGGATGTCTCAGGCGAAAGGGGCCGGGACACTATCGAGCAGGGCATCATTGAGATCAGGGTTGCGAGGACGTCTCAGGCGACAGTGGTTGACCCATTCGTAAGATCGGGTGCTGCCCCACGACCTCGCGCAAAGCCTTGTGAAGGTGGTGCAGTAACCCCAGGAAGCATTTAAGAAACCCCCCGGCGACATCTTAGCACCGCATTATTATTCGCTATTCCGAGGGGCCGAAATAACCGCACGATAGGTTTAGCACCCGGACACACAACAAATTCGCGGAGGCCTGGCCCCTGGGCTACAATCGAAATTCGAAATTCAAATCTGCGTGGCGGAGGAGGAGGAGGAGGAGGAGGAGGAGGAGGGGGCAGGAGGAAGTTCGTGGGTGGAGGAGAGGAGGAGGAGGAGGAGGAGGAGGAGGAGGAGGAGGAGGAGGAGGAGGAGGAGGAGGAGGGCTCCTGGTGCCAGGTAACGCTTCCAGGGTGCGGAAGGGTTATCGATTTGCCGGAAGGGGGGGGGTTCTTAAATGCTTCCTGGGGTTAATGCCTTGTGCACCTGGTCGTTCCAACATTGTTCCGGCGTGCCGCTCCTGCCGGCGAGCGCGGGCAGGGCGAGCGCTGCGCGCGCCTGTGCGGAGCGTGAGCGGGGCGCCCCGTCTGTCGGGGCCGCGCAATCAAGCGAACGCCCGTCCGCGCGCGGCTTGCGCGCGGACGCGAACGCGCTGGCGCCCGGAGACGAACGCCGGCCCCGGCATTCTTGCACGTCCCGCACATGCCCCGCACAGGTACGCACAGTATTCGCACAGGCCGACCTCGCCAGTGGCCGAGCCAGGCCAGCGATTCCGAGATTCCATGAGCTCGGGCCGTCAAGCCATTTTCGCCTGAGACATCCTCGCGACTCTCACCTCCTCCTCCTCCTCCTCCTCCTCCTCCTCTTCCTCCTTCTCGTCTGGCCGAGCCGAACAGGCGGGCGGGCCGGCCGAGCCGGGGGCGTCCGCCTCCTCCGCCCCCCCCATCCTTCCCCCCCCCTCCACCTCCCCCCCCCCCTGCTTCTCCGGCCGAGCTGAGAAGGCGCGCGGGAGAGCGTTTTACTAGGAGGGCACGCCGCCGCCAGCTCACAAACCGGGCGAAGAACCGCCCCCGCCAGCAGCGGGCGAGTCTAAACGCACAACAAATCTTTCAGGAAGGCTCTCTGCATTGGAGGCACAAGGGTCCCAGACTAGGGCATGAGCGTGCATGTGCATTGGGATGTGGCATGTGCGCCCGCGCATCGCATGTGCGTGCATGTGCGGGCCCGCGCGGCCTCCCGAAGAGAGGTTGCACAGGCATGTGCGTGCATGTGCCGATGACAGATCTGCGATTCTCGAACACCTCCCGCATGTGCAGGCATGTGCGCGCATGTGCGTCGGACTGCGCGTGCATGTGCGTATGATGGATACACCAAAACACAGCGCACATGCCCCCGCACATGCCCGGGCACGACGTGCACAGTAGGAAGTCCATCCAAGAAGGGCCGCACAGGCCTGGCACATGACTGGCACATGCCGCGCACATGCGCGCACATGACAGCGCAAAAACGGCCGCACATACACCCACCCAGGGGTATAGATGTGAGTGCGGTGTAATTATTGTTTGTTTGACCCTCCCCCCTCATTGACCTATCCCCAGGCAATCGTCGGCGCGGGCGCTGCCGAACCAAACTTTGTCGCAGCAGCTGTCCGGCCACTATCTGAGCTTCACACGGAAGAGGAGACGAAGCCAAGGGGGGGGGCGTCCAAGAGCGGGGGGCGTCTCTCTCTCTCTCTCTCTCTTTCTCTCTCTCTCTCTCTCTCTCTCTCTCTCCCACCCAGCCCCTATGCGCCCCCCCCTTCCATCTCTCGCTCTTGTTTCTTGTTGTTTGTTGTTATTTCTTTCTCTCTCTCTCTCTCTCTCTCTCTCTCTCTCCCTCGCGCACACACACACACACGCACGCACGCACGCGGACGCCCCCTCCTCCGCCCCCCCCTCTTCCCCTCCCCCCCGATTCGCCCGCCGCGGCCCACGCCGACGACCCGCCCGCAGCTCGCCCGCGACGCGCTCGCCGCCGCCCACGCCACGGTCCGCCCGCGACCCAAATCGCCGCGGCCCGCCCGCCGCCGGCCCGCCCGCCGCCCACCCCGCGCTCGCCCCCCTTCGGAGGCCTGGAAATTGGCACCAACACCAGCACAGGGGGCTGCCTCCACATGGGA